TTCTTTAAGCTGAACATTGGAATAAAAGCATAACAGGTTTTTTCTTAGAGCAAAAACTTGCCTGTGACCTGCTCTTTAATAATTTGTAAAGGTTTATGGGAATTTTACCTATGGTCAAACTGATTAGTATTGAATACATTTGTCTATAAGGTTTCATTAAGAATTGGGTTTAACATAATGGTGCACTAATACAACAGTTGATGTTAGGCTTATTTGGTACAAAAATCACTCAGGAAGCATTATCAAATGTTAAATGGTGTTTGGTTTCCTTTGGGCTGTATTTGTATAAATGTGTTATTGGTATATGTTCCAAAAGTATGAGAAACTCCTATAAATCTAATATGACTTAGTGTATGTTACGTTATTAATAATTATAATTGTTACATAAAATCATTGTATGCCACAAAGGTAACCAAATTTCATGTTTTTGACTGTGGCTGCCCTAACATTTTGTTACCCACAGACAATTGTTGTCTTGGTTTAATCCTCTTTAGAAGGTGGCTTATAACCAACTACAGAGCTCTAACAGGTGTTCTTAAATGCAGGTTTTTAATAACTTTGGAAATTTTTACATTAGAATAGTAGGAAAACTTTCAGCTCTCATAGAGAGCTGAAATGTTCATGAATATCAAGCAAAACAGGAGCTACTAAATTAACTGAACCAATAAAAACCTGAAGTAATGTTTTTAACTTTACTTAAAACGTTGCTGATCCTTTGTTTTTCAGGGTCAAGGAAACTTTTCTTCTGAGCATTTACACTTTAGCAATTGGGTAAAATACACTTCTGTGAACAAAATTTGGAGCACATTTGTTTCTCTCTGATTTCTCCCGAACTTGGAAACTATTTGTGAGTATTCTTAATTTATGGCAATACAGTTATTTGCATAAGTGCAACAAGAATCTATTTTCTTTTGCAACAGGACACAATTGGAAAAACTGGTTATTTTAGCAATGCTTTAACTGAAATGGCATGCTTTCCTTTAAGGAATCAAACTTGACTTATAAAGCCAATAAAAGCCCCTTGGGGAAATGCCTCATACCTTGTCTTCACAGTGCCTGTATAGTGTTCCTGACCTGTGGTAAGTAAAGAATGTCACTTTCTAACAGGTCCAGTAGCCCCAAGCTATCTTGGGACCTCAAGAGGAGAGGAAATTTACTCAACTCGTAGGTATTTGAGGGTACGAACCCGTGGCAGGGCCTGACTCTAACAAACTCTTATCTGAGATTCCATCTATGGAACAGAGTTCTAGCAAAGCTAATTTATAGAGCGTATGTGAAAAATAATTATTCTTGCTGTACTTTTTACAAAGAATCAGGCCAAGTATAAGAAAGCAAATCAGTCTTACCATGATGTGTCTTTAATAAAAATGGAAAACTGAAGAGAGAAATTATGTTTCAAGAACTATAGTACACTTCTTATTAAATTCTAGTTTCATCAATTGTTTTGGAGTCTGTTTCTGCAATTTAGGCTACCCTCCTTGTTCCTGTGAGCCTACAAGTGACCTCTGACTGCTGCTCAGAAGAAACAAGAGGGATGGGTGATGTGAAAATCTAGATCAGAATTCTAATTCTGGGCACATTAGAGTCAGCTAACAGCCCCACGTCAGCTTGGTTCCAGCAATTGCTCAGTTCATGGAAAGCCTTCTAATTTAGTTTACTTGGGGTAGTTTTGCTTATTTTGTTACACTGCTGTTGGACTCTTTGTGTAGGAATGCAGGATAAGCTAACTGAATGTTTTCTTAAACACAGTAATTGTTCAGATACCACCTTTTGTCAGAACTCGAGTGAATGGCCCTCACCACACCAAGGCTTTCTGACTGAGCTCTTCTCTACCCTGAACAGAAGAGACCCTAATAGGCAGGAATATCATTGACCCTATTCAGCCTGAAGAAGTTACTGAAGACAGATCTCCATCCCTCTGCAACCCTTAGAATTAAAGGTTCTCTTATAAATGGGAGAGGGGAAATGTCAGAGGCATGTGAACCAGAGCAACTCCATCTTGAACAGGAACTGGGTAAAATGAGGCTGAGACCTACTGGGCTGTATTCCCAGATGGTTAGGTATTCTAAGTCACAGGATGAGATAGGAGACAGGTCTTAAAGACCTTGCTGCTAAAACAGGTAAGTAAGGAAGCCGGTTAAAACCAACCAAAACCAAGATGGCGATCAGAGTGACCTCTGGCCGTCCTCACTGCTACACTCCCACCAGCGCCATGACAGTTTACAAATGCCATGGCAACGTCAGGAAGTTACCCTGTATGGTCTAAAAAAGGGAAGGCATGAATAATAGACCCTTGATTAGCACATCACCAAGATATAACCATAAAAATGGGCACCCAGCAGCCCTCGGGGCTGCTCTATGGAGTAGTCATTCTTTTATTCCTTTACTTTCTTGAATAAACTTGCTTTCACTTTACTCTATGGATTCACCCTGAATTATTTCTTGCTTGAGATCCAAGAACCCTCTCTTAGGGTCTGGATTGGTACCCCTTTCCTGTAACACACCCATACCTAGAAGTCCGTTTTCAGACCTTTCTGGGCTGAACCAGTGTCCACCTTCCATGAACGGACTGATGTCTCTGCCTCTAACTTCTGTCCCCCTAAAATGTATAAAATCAGGCTGTAACCCCACCATCTTGGGCATCTATTCTGAGGATCTCCTGGGACTATGTCACAGGTCACAGTCCTTACGTTGGCTCAGAATAAGCCTCTTCGAATATTTCACAGAGCTTGGGTTTTTCAACAACACCACCAGTAAAGTGTGCCAGCTCCCACATTCTGGGAATGAGGGCCTTTCCAACAGGTGGATATGAAAACGCAAACCATATGGTGACATCATGGCCAGGCACCGCAAAGCTCTCCTGCATGAGAACCTGTCGTGTCCGACACAAAAGTCAAATGAGTTTCTTTTTCTAGACCTTGACCTTGAACAACTTCTATAACCTGCTGGTGGAAAAACAGGTAATTTCAGACCAAAGGCTGGACTAGACCACAAATCAAGGTCCCAAATGATAAAAAAGGCAAAACATGAAAACCCCTCTGGAGATGCCCAAAGCTCAGTTACTCGGGAGACAAGGACAGCTGAGGGCTGCTCTGGAGAGCAGTGAGGCAGGAACGACCACCACCAAGAATCTAGCTGGGGCACATCAGAGGACTTGGGAACCCATTCCTTCTAACTTAGAAAGCCTACGGGTCTAGGTAAAGGAGTGCTCCACACACACAGAGCCCAAGGCATCCTGTGAGGGGGACCCCTGGTGGAAATCTGTGACCCCAGCTGACAGCCCACCGGGGCCCAACTGCTCTCTTGGGCTGGGACCCCCAGGCAGTGGGCTGGCCTTGGGGACCCCTGGCCCTGTGAGGCCTGTGGAGCCTCCGTCGGGACTGAGCCCCTCTGACGCTGGCAGGCACCACTGATGCGTTCTCTGGGTTTGTCCTCGGAACCACCCCATCTAAATCACCAAGGGCCTGAGCACTCTCTTTTGTTCCCATTCTCTCTGACAGCAGGAAGGGTATCATAGGCAAAACACACTTAAACCATGAAGTTTGTTTAAACCTAAGGAAGCTTCTAAACCAGAGCGAGGTGAATTCAGGTGGGGCTGCTCCTGAGTTCAAGTGACGATGGATATCAGCACCTACCTATTGTGTCCCAGCCCTGTGCTGGGGCCCTCGGGCACCAGGGAGGTCCCATGCAGGGGCACTTCCTGCTGTCTGCCTGGGGCACCGTCCAGCCTGTTGGGGCCGGTCTCCTCCTCTGCAGACACAGCTAACAGCACAACTCGCCCTACACGGTTGGCTGAGGGTCCCACCAGATGATGAATCCCAGGTGCTCAGCAAGGCGCTAATTACCCCTCAGATGCCCCTGAAGCCCCGAGGGGGTGGGATGTGGTGGTGGTGGGGGCTGTCCTGTCCCTTTTCTAAACATGAAAATGGGCTTGAGAAGTGATTTCCGGTGCAGGAATTCAGCTTTTAAAAACATTCTGGACCATGCCCTTTAGACGCTCTGAAGTTCTCTGGGTTACTTGGGAATAGAAGAACTGGTCTGTGTTGGTTCAGCACCACGGAGACCCACAGCGTCACATGTGTTTGCCTGGCTGTGGTGACAAGAGGGTGACCACGGGGATCAGGGAGTACCAGAGTGAGGAAACCAGTACCAGAGTGACCAGGCCTTTGCTACTGATGACAAAGGCCTTCCGTGCCCTGGCTGATCAGGGGTTAAGAAGCAGGACCCAGAGGCCAAGACAGCACTGCTCCAGGAACTGAAGACTGGGAGTCGTAGCCAAGCCCCCAGCCCTGCGGGGAGCAGGAGTGACGGGGGAGGTGTGCACCGATGGCCTCGGTCTGGCCTGCAATCAGGCTGTGGCCAGCGCCGCGGGACAGGCCACATGTGCCCAAGGGCTGGCTGGGTACAGACTCTGCAGGGACAAACAGATCAAACACGTTATGAATGAAGTGATTCTTTTACAGCTGAGGGGGTTGGAGACTGAATTGCCCATTCAAATCATTAGCATTAAAAAAAAAAATTTCCTTGATGAAAATTTCCAGTTCCACAAAAGAAAGTAATCAAACAGATGTTCCTCCATGACATTCAGATGGTCTATGTGCAAATTAATAAGGTTATGACATAATCTGATTATGTGACAAAGCCAAGGGAGAGCCGACAAAGAACCAGACTGGCACCGTGGACCCCTTAATGAAGTGGGGCTCCGTAAAAACCAGGACGAACCACAGGTGGTCTGAGCAGAAAATCCCTGATTACGGGCAGTCTACCTGACAGTCAGGAGCTGAACCCTGAGCACTGAATGTGCAAACTTCTAACTATCAAAAAACCCACAGTGCATCAGGCAGACATAATCATCCACATTTCTTTTCCACGCTGCAAATCACCACGATCCCAGATTAGCTCGGCCGGCCGGGCACCTCCCTCCCATCCGCCTCGGCGGTGGGGCCAATCAACGGTTTAGGGGCAGAGGCGCGGGCTCAGGAGGTGCGACCTCGGGAGGCGCGGGCTCAGAAGGTGGCCGCAATCTCTGGCGTCTTCTGGAATCAGAATTTGAGGTCCACATCCTCAGTAGTTCCACACTTTCATTAGACTTAGCTGAATGCGTGCTGGTGCCATTACAGCTTCGATTTCAGACTTCCTGTGACAGGTTTGTTCACAGAAAACTCCGGCCACCAGGACGCCCGCTCCAGCACCTTGCTGTCCTGCAGGACAGCGCCCCAGAGGTTTTTGTAGAGCTGCAAACAACACATACACAGCAAGTGAAGGGAAGAAGTAAGAAGAGAAAGATCCCCAGACGGCTGAGCGTGCAAATGTAACTCTTCTCATAGGAGTTTTTGTTAAAAACACAAGAAATTCTCTGTCACTTTTAAGGGAAATTTTAAAATGACTTAAATTTAATTTATATAAACATTTTCTTTTTTTTTTTTTTTTAAGTAGAAAACAATTAGGAAAATTCAATTATAAAGTACCACAAAACACATTTATAGTGAAAATCACCCCGTTGCCCCCTTCTTGGGAAATTACTGGCTGGGTGGGGCGGCTCCCAAAGTGCTGGATCTGGCCTGTAATCCCGGCACTTTTTGAGGCTGTGGCAGGAGGATTGCTGGAGCTCAGGAGCCCAAGACCAGCTTGGGCGACACGGCGAAACCCCATCTTTAAAAAAAAATGCAAAAAATTAACTGGGCATGGAGGAGTTCACCTGTAGTGCCAGCTACTTGGGACGCTGAGGTGGGAGGATCGCTTGAGCCCGGGAGGTTGAGGCTGCAGTGGGCTGAGATGGCGCTGCTGCACCCCAGCCCGAGTGACAGAGTGAGATTCTATCTCAAAAAAAAAAAAAAAAAAAAAAGGAAAAGATTGTGGGGAGCGAACACCGTGGTTCTTAGTAAGTGCAGCCACCACAGGATTCTGCAAGGCTGCAGCAGGAGCTACTCAGACATCTGCTCTCACACCCCAGGCAGCTCCAGGCCACACAGGTGGCACGTGGCCACCAGCAGCATGCCCTCACCAGGTGGGCCTTACTGGCCGATTCCTGGATCTGGGCCACCATGCCCTGCCCATCTTGTCCTGTCCCCAGGCCAGCACTCCCCTACGGGATGTGCAGATTTCACTGCTCTCAGCCCAAGCGGCCTGAGAAGCTGGAAAGAGAAGTTCCCATCTTGGAGGAAGAACGTAAGGACGAAGGATGAAGGGCGGCTGAGCAGACACTTCACCTGCACAGCGTGGGAAGGGGCAGCCTGGCCAGCGCGGCCCGTCTCCAGAGCCTGGGGAGGCGGTCTGTTTTGCATCCAGCTTACACTGACCCATTTTACTTAGGAGAAACCCCTCTGCCAGCACCTGCTAAATGCACTTAGCAACCCTGCTCCCCACTCTGCTACCTTGGGCTCCAGAGACACAGGCACAGACCCAGGCTGCTGCCCCACAGGGCCTGGGTTCCAGGCTCCGTTTCATAGTTGAGCACCGGGCTTGGTCAACCCACCTACAGCTCTGTTTGTTCATTTATAGTGAATTTCTTACCTGGTAGCTCCTGGTTAATACACCAGCTCCTTGCAACTGGGGGGAATGTACTTTTTTTTGAGATGAGGTCTCACTCTGTTGCCCAGGCTGGAGTACAGTGGTGCGACCACTGCTCACCACAGCCTCAACGTCCCCAGGCTCAAGTGATCCTCTTACCTCAGTTTCTGTAATTTTTATAGAGACAGCATTTCACTATGTTGCCCAGGCTGGTCTCAAACTCCTGGGCTCAAGGGATCCGCCTGCCTCAGCCTTGCAAAGTGCTAGGGTTACAGGCGTGAGCCACCACGCTGGGTGAGGAACGTGCGTTTTATAAAGCATCCTGCCAGGGACACCTCCGGTCGGCTCTGGTTTTAACTATAGAACCCAGAGGCAGAGGCACCCCTCCATCATGGCATGGGCTCTCCTTTCCTCCATCCTTTCCCTGCCTCAGAGCCGGGTCTGCCTCTGCACAGCAAGGCGCAGCAAGTGGATACTTGAGGCCACTCCGGCTTCTTCTGTAGGGGGCAGACAGTCCCATGTGCCCAGGGGTCCTCCCTCCATGGCAGGTCTGGCTCCACCGTCTCTTCGAATGCCTGCCTGTCTGCCTGGTGAGCCCCCCAGCTCCTGGTGAGACTGCATCTCCCAGGGAGGCAACTGGGGCAGGTCCCCCTCCTATGTGCTCCCCCAAGGCCCAAGGTTCGCCCGCAGTCTTCTCTCCCTACAGCAGGGCGCAGCTCTCTCTCCGAATCCTGGCTCTGCCATTCACTGGCTGGACACCCACTGGGCTTCTCTGACCTCAGCTCTCAGCAGCAGTGATCATCTGGCTGTGTAGGTTTGGGGAATGGCCAGGGGCCAACCACCTGAAGCAGAACAGCAGGCCCTCCGCAGACATGAGCATCCCTGCCTCTCCTACCACGGAACTCTCACCTCCTGCCCTGCCCACCCAGCCCCTAGCACCACCTGCTTCTTGGCACACCTAGCCCAACCCAGGTGTAGCCAGGCCATGCTGAGGCCAGGTGCTGGGCCCTCCCTGGCTAAGCCAGTAAGGACTCATGTACAGACGTCAGCATTCCCTGAGGACTGAGGTGGGGAGGCTCCTGCCCACTAAGGCTCAATCTCCATTTGAACAGAGACCCAGGTGCCCGCAGGGGCCTCAGCAGAAAGAACTCGGTGCTGGGGCAGGGGACAGCGGTGGGGATAAACCCTGCTCTGTGGCTCACAGCCAAAGGACTTCAGGCATGGCACATGAATAGTCACACGCCAAGTCCCTCTAGCAGAAGATAGACACAGCCCTGTAGGCAGCGGGGTGCTGGAAGGCGCCCAGTGGACCTGTGACGGTCACCCCTCGAGGGCTTCGTTGGGTGGGAGGGAGACACAGGCTCAGTGGAGAGGCAGGACCCCGTGAGGTACATGCCTGGGGGCAGTGCCTCAGCCGGAGGCCAGAGAAGGCCTCTCCAAGGCGCTGACAGTCAGCTTATGCTGAAAGAATGGAAGGCATTCCAGGCAGCCAGGGCAGCGGGCACAAGGCCCCGGGGTGGGCAGGAGCCTGGCATGCCAGACGGGGAGGGCAGTGAAGCTAGACCTGGTGAGCAGGAGGGGAGCGTGGGGTGAAGGGCCTGGAAGGAGGCGGTGGCTGCATGGGGCTGAGGCATGGCAGGTAGTCGAGGAGGCTGGTGGAGGCTCCCTCAGGAGCGGCCTGACCCCATCTGCTTTGAAGGAATCATCCTGGAACATGGGGACTGGGGGAGAGCTGGGGAGCCACAGGGAGGCAACTGGGGGAAGGTGGGGCAGGGGAGGCTGCCCCCGTGACAGCCATGGATGGTCAGAGGGGACAGAGTGTCCTGGGGATTCTAGGTCAGGGGTGGGGAGAGACCCTGCGGGGTCAGATGGGGGTAAGACCTGGGCCCGGGGAGGCCACCGGGGAGTGGGAGGAGAGCAGAGGCTGCAGTGTGTGGACCTCCAACCTCTGCCTGTGCAGGTGGGCAGTGCCACCACCCCATCTTGGGAGGAAGGGGCCGGCAGGGGACGGGCAAGTCCCCTGCAACCACGCAGCCAGCATGGTGAAGCACCAGAGAGAGACTGCCCCCGATTTCTCCCAGAACCTCCCCACAGAAGCTCCCCACGTGTGACCACTTCCCAGGAGACACCAGGCCCCGGACCCACAGGAGCACCTCAGCTCCGCAGAAATGCCTATCGGCCCTTGGGGCACCCCTGAGAGACCCCGTCCTCCCTTTACCTCGCCGTCGGCTCTGCCAATCGGTGAGCCCAGAACAAAGTCGGGAGGCGCGATCACGTCCACCAGGGCAACTGCGTCGTCTTTCAGCTGTTGGAAACAAAGCCCAGACCCTTGGCACCTCCCGGGGATTTCCATGGTGACCAAAGAGTAACAGCCCTGTCCGTGGTCGCTAGGGCCCACTGGCAACGGTAACCCAAGCGGCACACGCAGCTCAGCTGCCAATGCACAATCTCCTCAGTGGCCTGCGCTCGGGCCCCGGGCGTGCAGCTGGCTGTTCTCACCAAGCTGCTTTTCGCTCGGGGCTTCCAGTGCTTGGTCTCTTTCCAACCTTTAAGGTAGAAAAGGCCCTAAAATGATGACCCTGCAGCTTGTGAATTAGCAACTGTCTTTGGAGGCTCGTTCCTAAGCCCTGGCTCATCTGGGCAACTGCTGCTCCAGTAAAGGAAAATATGTCCAGAAAACATGTAATAGAGAAGGCATTTATGAGCACTTGGAAAAGGCAGAATCATAGGAAGCCTCCTCAGCTGGCAGTGGTTTTAGTACTCTCCCATTCCACTGTACAAATTATTCTTCAGTATGACACACAAAATTTATATGAGTGGACTCTCAAGAATTTTTTTTTAATGCAAAAAAAAAAAATTTCCTTAAACTATTATGAAATGCCATGTCTACACTGCATAGAACCCTGGAATGGGAGACACCTTTAATGATACGGATCAAAGGCAATCGGTCATCACAGAATAACAAAAGCCACCAGAGAGGGGCTGAGTGCACCTCCTCGCTCAGCGCGGCGCTCTGCAGGGCATGGTCACCTGGTCCTGGGCCACATGCCTCAGCACGGAGGCCACAGATAAATGCCACTGCTCCCAGAGAGAAGCTCTCGGCAGAACACACGGTGCTCAGGCTGACAAACGTGTTCTGTACAGGCCAGGTAGGAGAAGTGATGGGCTTTGCGGGCCATGGTCCCTGACGACTGCCTACTCTGCTGTGGAGGCAGAAACACACCCACAGATGACACTCAGCTGAACGGCAGGATTGGGCTGAGTTTGCTGGCCCTGGTCTAGCTGATGGCTGGTGCCCTCTCCACCTGAACTTGGCCTCCCCAAGAGAGCAGTGTGGATGGGCACACACAGAGTGGCACACAGTGGTCAGCTGGCCTTGGCCTCAGCCTCACTGGGGAATCAGCTGTGACTTTTTAATTTTTTTGAGACAGGGTCTTGCTCTGTCACCCAGCCTGGAGTGTGATGGCGCGATCATGGCTCACTACAGCCTCAAATACCTGGGCTCAAGCCACCCCACTGCAGCCTCTTGAGTAGCTGGGACTACAGGTGTGTGTCACCAGGCCTGGCAAATTTTTAAATTATTTTTTATAGAGATGAGGTCTCACTATGGGCTCACTATGTTGCCAAGCCTGGTCTCGAACTCCTGGCCTCAAGTGATCCTCCTGCTCCAGCCTCCCAAAGTGCTGAGATTACAAGCGTGAGCCACCACACCTAGGCGCTTTTTATCAACAGCAACTCCCCACTATGCCCTCTTCTCTATGAGGATGCCCCTGTGTTTCCCTGGTTGCACCTGTAGACTCTGAAGGCCTCCATAGAGTCAACACCGCCCCAAGGAGGTAAAATCTGGCTCGTGGAGGAGCTAAGGAAAACCCCTCCCGGTGGCTGGTTCTGTGTTGAGTAAATGTAGCCACACACGTGCACTGCAATTAGACGCGCCCTTGTCCAGAACCGCAGGCTCAGGGAAGGGGGTTGTACAGTGAATCCCAAGAGACTCAGCCAGTCACAGGGATGTTCCCCTATTCGCAGATCAAGCGTGAAAGCAGTGACGGGGAGATGAAAGGGTACATCTCCAGTCACCAGAGGCACCGTGCTAAAATACAGCTGTACTTGGTCCAGTTCCTGCTGGCAAAGGTGGAGTGACGTCCCCACGAACACAGTGGCCCTGCCCACCACGGCAGCACCAGCGGCTCCTCAAATTCAGCATAATGAAAGGAAATCTCAGACCCTCACTTACACAGCTGCCTTCCCCCACCAGCGGCCACCGTGCTCAACAGCACAGGAACGGAGCTTCTGTCCCTGAAGGGCGGAAGAGAGCTACTGGATCAGAGAATGGGGTTGGGGCCCTCTGATGTCCTGGGTGACATGGGTAAAAGAAAATAATAATCAAGGACACTGCCATGAAACAAATTTAAATGGGAGGCTGAGTCCCCTGAATGCTCAGATAATTCTCAAAGTAGCTGCAAAGGGTGTGTGAGAGGGGACCGGGTGTGTGCAGATCTGGAGACGCCCCAACAGGTTTCTTTTGCTAAAATTTCTGATGTGAGTATATTTTCATACAATCCTCCAGTTTTAACTGAACACTGAACACATGTGAATGTTTGGGTTGCAAACGCAGTGAGTATAGGCGGTGCGTGTCTGCTCTGGGTGATCTAAGGCGAAGGGTGTCCGCTCTGGGTGATCTAAGGCGAAGGGTGTCCGCTCTGGGT